AAGATTCACATAGATGTTTCACTAAGGAACTTCTATGAATGGCTAATGAGGACATGGAAAGATGCTCAGCACCATTAATCATTAGGGAGATGCAAATGAAAACACTGCTACACACCCAGGAGGATGGCCGTAATCCAAGAGACAAGACAATGTCAAATGCTGGGAAGGTTGTGGAGATGTTGGAATCCTTTCATTTCTAGTCGGAAAGTAAAATGGCGCTGCCCTGTTGGAATACAGTCTGGCAGTTTTATATTTATGTTCTCCGATGTATCTTTCACCTGTTGTTGCTGGGTTTTTAATCATGCTTAGGAAATTTTCTCCACTTTCACGTTATAGAGAAATTTACCTATATTTTCTCCTCTAGTAGTGTGATTTTATTTACTACGTTTAAATCTCTGGTCCATTTGAAATTCATGCTGCTGTACAGTGTGAGGGATAGATCCAATTTTATCTTTTTCCATGTGCCAATATCATTATTAAAAAGTCAGTCCCCTTCCCTCACTGACTTGCAATGTCTCCTTTAGTGTATACTAAATTTGCATATGCAAGTGGGAATATTTCTGGATCTCCTATTCTGTTCCCTTGGTCTTTCTATGTATTCATATATCAGTTCCATACTTTTGAATAGGATGTGTTAATGACTGGTAGGGCTAGCCTCTACACCTCGGTCCTCTTTATTAAAGGTTTTTCTGACTATCACTGGTGTTTTTTCCTTCCCAATAAATTTTATAATAAAATTCTCTAGATCCAGCAAAAAATCCTGATGGGATTCTTGTCATTACCTTTTATTTATAAATTAATTTTGGGAAGATTGATATTTTTATGATCTTCGCTCTTCCTAATCAAGAACATGTTATGGTTTTGCATTTATTGAAACCTAATTTGTCCTGTAGACTTTTATAGTTTTTCTCCTCAGGTTTTAGGAATTTCTTATTAAATTTATGCCTAAGTATTTAATTTTCTTCTTCTCTATAGCATTTAGTGTATTATGTAAGTCATACAGTATATATATGATGGAGTCCTCATCATTCCTTCTGTTTTATGTGTGTGTGTGTGCATGTGTGAGCATGCGCATATCACACACACACACACACACACACAAACTATTGATTATGTATCTTAATTTTATACCTGCCTGTTTACTTTTAGAATTTGCAGTAGTTTTTCCATTGATCCCATGATCTTTTTACCGTATTGCATGAGTGTTACTGGTTTTGCCAGCCATTAGTTTCTCAGATTAAAAGGTTATTTGGCTAGAAGCCTCCCTCATTAGAATGAAGCTCCCTGTTTTCCATCGTTTTCCCTTGATATTCCTCTCTCTGCTGCAGTGGAGGACTCAGATTGTTTCCTGAGGCTCTCTTAGACTGTCAGCTTTAGTCTGGGCTTCCCCCAGGAGATCCTGAGATGAAGACTTGCATACAAGCAGTTTATTTGAGAGGTGGTCCCAGGAAACACCAGCAGGGGTCATGAACGTGAGAAAGGAGGGAGAGGAATACAAATAAAAGGCTCTTATCTAGCAGGTCTCCACTTGAGCAACTGGAACGTAGACTCTGGAAGACCATATAGAGCCCCCAGAGTCATCCTAAGCATGGGGTGAAGACGCCTGGGATTGCCCCAGAGTTATCCCAATTGTGAGGTGAGGAAGCCAGGACTTGCTGGGTGCGGGGTGCTTTCAGGGCCTTAAAGATCGCCCAGCCAGTAGAGCAACCAGGACTGGCCCCACAGTCTATGCTAACCCAGTAGACTTTGAGGGAGGCTCTGGAGTCACACTGACTCCGACTGAATCCTGCTCAGATGCTTTCTGGCTACAAAGGCTTGGTTCCCTCATCTGTATGTTGGCAATGATATTACCTCATGGAGTTGCTGTGAGGATGTGGACACTGTGGACAAAGACACAGAGATGTACCTATGGATGTCGATGTGATGTAGGTCGGGTGTCGACATCGAGACACACAGTGGATGCAGATGAAGCTAGAGGCACAGGCAGATCTAGACACAGATGCCAGTGTAGACATACACATGGAGGTGGACAGAGACACAGGTACAGATGTGGGCGTAGGCACGCGTGTGGCCTGCTCCTCCCATGCCAGGCCCTCGCTGGGACTGGGGATCAGTAAGCAGCAGGACTTCCATGCCTCCGACTTGACTCTGTCCTCAACTCTATCCCCATTTCCCTGCTCTTCTCAGGTGTGTGCCTTTTATGCTGTCATGAGATGTACTCAAGCCCTCCCCTGACTGGCCCACCCCTCCCTCTTCTCCTGGACCCCTTCCCACCAGCTTGCTCCAGATTATCTTCTGGGGCGGCAGTTCAGCCTCGTTTTCTTCCAGCTGTGGGGCCCCTCTGTAGTCTGGTTTTCTCTTTGCCATTCTTAGGACCTGAGAACTGTGGAGGGAGGGACGTTCCCCATCACACAGAGCAGAGGCAAGTTCTAATAAAATCAGAGTGCTGGATTAAACATGATTAGGTTGCTCATTATTGCAGGTTGAAGTGAAGATTCCATTTATTAAGGCCATTTAAGGTGGACACTTAGGTTCCCTGTGGGATTGTGTCCATCTCAAAGTGTCAGGTGACAGGGCCATTCTCAGGTTCTCAGAATGCAAAGGGCAGGTAACTGGAGGAAGATGGGTTTCCTTAGGTGGGTGTAGCTGTGGGTTCTGACTGTGGACATTGACAGTATTTTGGGACGTTCATGATTGGGTCATACCAGTCATGATCTTGGGACAGTTGGCCTGAATACACTGCTGAGGTTCACTGACCATGTTTATTTTTTAATTTTTAAAAATATTTTATTTATTTATTTGACAGAGAGAGAGAGAGCACAAGCAAGGGGGAGTGGCAGACAGAGGGAGGGGGAGAAGCAGGCTCCCTGCTGAGAAGGAGCCCAACGTGGGGCTCGATCCCAGGACCCTGGGATCATGACTTGAGCCGAAAACAGATACTTAACCAACTGAGCCTCTCAGGTGTCCCACTGACCGTGTTTAGAAAGGGAGGGAGGATGGAGCAGATCTATGTGAAGCCTTTTCGCTCACAAGCAGCTGGATTGGATTGATGTTGCAACAGACTAGTCCCCCCAAGGGGGGTCCCTGCAACACTCTCATGGATGTCTTCATTCCTGTGTGGAGGGAGCGAGACGAATGCAGAACCTGTCGATTTGATCAGATGCATTCCTTTGTTTACTCCTGAAGCAACGGCCCTGAACACCGTAGTTGGACATTGCGCTCTCCCAAGGGTACAAACTTAGGGGGTATAGCTCAGTGGTAGATCATTTGACTGCAAGGGTACGAACCTAGAGGAGGGCTGAAGTGGAAAGAGGCAGGCACAGCTGGCCCATGTTCAAGCTTACTTGCCATTTAGAAATGGAAGAATACCGTAAGGTTTTCAGTGCAGACTTGTAAGTAAGTGCGAGACAGACGGTCAGGTGACAGCATTGTGACAAGTGTGTGAAGCCATTTCCCAATTGTTTTAGTCGGCCAGACTTAGGGAGGAAACCAGCACTGACACAAACCAATTGCACCATGATCGGCAAACAATGAAGTGTTGGGAGTCACTGTTGAAAGTCTATAATTTCCAATGGAATTGCTGTTGGGTCATCAGCTTGCTACCAAAGGACACAGCTGGCTGGGTGGGAATGGCAATTAGCCGCTGTTACCCCAGTGTGACATTTTTCCCCTATAGACGATGGAAAAGTAAGACCTCCACTGGCCAGTGTTGGGTGCCTGCTTGTGAAATGCCCCCTCGTCCAGAGGAAGGGGACATTGGGGTGGGAGCTCTTGCCCCGGGCCACGGGGAAGTTTGGCTGGCCTGACCCTTACCTCCGCTGTAGCAGAGACACAGAAGCCCACTGGCCCTGGAAGAAACCACCTCCTTTGCCTGGTTTGTGTAAAGAGCCCTTGCGCCACGGCTGGGAGTGAGACGTGCCTGGGCTGGTCTCCTGGGTGCACAGACTCATCCGTGCCCCTTCCTCTGGGTTGGGGTTTCACTCTCAGAGGGACGCGGAGCTGGCCATGGGGCGTGAACAGTGTGCTGTGAGCCTTCAGGGAATTTGCAGGCTTCCTTGAAGGCTGGGGGTGCCCACCCCTGCACAGCTTCATTCTGGAAGTGGCTCACCATGGATGTGCTGCTGGAGTTTAGTTCTTTCTCTTTTTGGTGTTTCCAAGCCACAGTATGTGCCCGCTGTGGCTGCGGAGTGCAGGTGAACATCCTCTGCTCTCTGGGGTTGGGGCATGACTTCTTTTAGGAAAAGTCAGGGTTCTTTTGGTTCGTTCTTTTTGAATGGCACTACAGCGACCGTCCACTCTCAGCATTTAGCAAGTGGGCAGTGAACTATTTTCCTAAGGTCAGGGTGGTTGTGGACCAAATAGACAAATGTACTGGGCAGGGCTGAGCCTTCCCACAGCTGAAGCCCAAATGTGAAAGAATCAGGTACTTAGCTGGCTTGAGAAGAAGGGTTGTAGATATTCCTCCGAATCTTGCAGTGATCTAAATGTGGGCAACGAATCAAGAGCCTGGACGACTAGTCCTTCCATTGGTCTGTTCTTAACATAGTCATCTAGAGTCCGCGTTCAACTTATTTATTTCCTAATGCTGGGTGATGGATTAAAAGATGTGTAGAAAATCTTTCTACAAGAGATAAGATATTGCAGCCTGCCACAACACCCCCGGCTCTTTTTGCTTTCTCTTGCTGTTTTTTCTACTTTTCAGTGCAGAGCTCAGGCCCCCACATCATATATCTTGATTAGGTGGTGGATATTACTAAGGGGATGTTTTTTAAGCCTATCATTGACACATTTAATTCATTAGGTACCAAATCCACAAACAAATTTTGGCTGGCCATAAAACATGGTTAATCCAGGGAGCTGCAGTAAAAGGTGAAAAATTATGTCCCAGCAAATGTGGAATATTGCTTTTCTGTAGAGACTTTTACGGTCTACGACATCTTTCTTCATAAATTTGTCTTTTGCTTGGTTCTCTTGGTAACTTAACCATTTATTGCTTCCAGACCACAGAATGGCTCAATGATCCTCTACAACAGGAAGAAAGTGAAGTACAGGAAGGATGGGTATTGCTGGAAAAAGAGGAAAGACGGGAAGACGACCAGAGAGGACCACATGAAGCTGAAGGTCCAGGGAGTGGAGGTAAAGGGCAGAAAGACTCTCTTGTTCCCCAAATGTTGTCTCTGGGCTGCAATGACATGGAATTGCTTTGGAGTAATTTGCTGCCAGTCACCTCTGTCAAAAATATTTTTTGTTTGCCAAGACCCCGTTTGCTGTTTTGCTTTGTTTTCTGCTTTCTTAGCCAACAGTCTCCATTTAAGTTTTCCATGAAGGCCAGATTTAGCTAAAGTGCTCCTGTTTCTCGGGAGTCCTTGGTGTGTAGACTGGGATTTGCAAGGTTCCTGTAGAATCCTGTGTTGTATGTGTCACGGAGGAGCCTGCAGGGACGAGGGAGGAGGGACCCACCTGAGGTCTCCCTCTCTAGGTGGCCTGGACCTACCTCTGTTGAGTGGGACCCTTGGGAGCTGGTGATCTCCAACCAGAGCCTGGCTTGTCTCCCTCTACTGACGGCCTCTCTGTTTTCCTCTGGGTGTTCTGACCTTAGGGAGCTCGAAGGTGTTAAAGATAATGAGATGGGATCGCAGGGCATGCGGGATTCTTGCGGCTGGGGTGGAGGTGGGTGCTGCAGGACAAGTCTTGGGATCTGTGCAAACTTCGGTTTGGGTCCTGGGGGAAGACAGGGTGCAGGCTGGTTTCTTTGCCGTTGTCACACCACAGGCTCTCACTCTTGGGCAGCTGTGGAGACATTCTCCTGGGGTCCCTTCCTTGTTTGAGGGCCTGAGCCACGTGCCACAGTGGTAGAGGGAGAGGGTGTGAATCGTGGCGCATTCTTGGCCTGCTAGTTAGCGAGCACCCACTTCTCTGCACTGCTTGCTGATCCTTGTAAAGGATCTTCCCTGTAGGTACGGTGCTGCGTCAGGCCAGGAGCTGAGAAGCTGGCCTGGGATCCAGCTGGTATTTCATACTGGTGAAAGCGAGGGATCCTGGAGGCCACTGGTGTGTTGTGTCCCCCAGGCTGCCGGGATTGATCACTTGGACCATAAGCCCACTTGACTTCCATGGCTCCCACTCCAGGCTGACGTTCTTTGTGACGCACTTCGTCATTATGACTTTTTCTATATTAATCATGCGCTTTTATGGCTGTTAAAAATAGCATCCAGTGGCTTTTATTATATTACCCCACAGAGAGAGATAACTTTTGTTTTTTTTTAAACACCCAGTAACAATGCTTTATGATGTTGAACAAAGAAAAGCCCCGACACGAGAAATTCTGCTTCTGTATGTTCTCTCGCGTTCTGTTATTTGCACAGCGTGCTTTCGTCAGCTGGTGAGACATGAAAATGCAGATCGCCCTGAACGTGTTGGACCTAGCTCTAGGACGGTGACTGGTGATTTTGCCAGCTGCCCAGCCATAGCTGCGGGGGGCCCCGAGGGCACAGGAGCTTGGAGGGATGGGGGGGCACGGAGCAGAGTGGGCGGGACCCGCGCGGGGCTCTTGCTGGGACTTGCAGGGTCTGCGGGAGCTCACTCCAAAGCTGCACAGACGGTCCCTGTGCCCGCAGGTCTCTGGCAGGCCTCGTCCTCGGTCATACGTAGGTCAGGAACTTCGGTCGTCCGAGTGGCAGGGTGGAACTCTCCCCCAGCAGCAGCTCAGAAGCCCAGGGCCAAAAAAAGCCAGTGTTCATTTTCTTCCTTCACGTGATAAATTAGAATTGTCACTGGATGGAACCAGAATGACGTGTGGTTATTTTTAGGCCATGTTTGTGTTTGGAGTTCTTTGCGGCTCGCACTTAACAGTCTCCCTTGCAGACCCCCGTATGGGGGATGTTGGGACCCTTGGGACCCAGGGGAAGGAAAGGGGCTGGACAGCAAGGGGTCTCTGTGATTTGCTGAGCATAAGTGGCTGTGGGGAGTGGGAACAGGAGAGGGACTGAGAGACCCTTGGTCGGCCACACAAGGGGCCTGCTTTCCGGTTCTTCGAGAGGGAGGCCAGGGCCACCTCGGGCGGGCAAGTGTGGTGGCTGCTTCCACGGAGCTCAGGGACTTGTTCCCCTGAGTAAGTCAGTGAGCACTGACTGTGTCCACTGCTCTATAGTATTCCACCATGGAAGCATTTGAGCCACTCCCTAGTCAGCGGACTTTTAGATTCTGTCCAGCAATTCAACATTACAGTGCTTCAGGAAACAGGCTTGTCCACGTGTGCAGCCCGGATCTGCTGGAACGGCTGGGCACAAGGTCTGAGCATCTTGCATTTTACTGGACATTGCAAATGGCTGTGCTAATTACATGCCCAGCAGCACTGAGAATTACCGTCTCTTCCCTACCCTCTTGTACACTGATGGATGATAGATGGTACCCTGTTCAATTTGAACTGGGCTTTTCTTAGTTATTTGTGGGGATGAGCACATCATGTTAGTGAAAGTCCTTTGTGGTGGGTTGTCTACCACGGGCATAATTTTAAAACAGCTCCAAAGAAAGACATCTTTGGCAAGAACATCCCTGCATCTCACTGGGCATTTCCTGCATTTGCTCTGATCTGGACTGGTGGCTGGGAAGCCCAGAGGTCATCCGGGGACAGGGGGCAGGTGGTTCTTTCCACCTGGGAAATGGCCATGTGGACATATATGGAGTTTTGCATCTCATGGGAGGAGGCTTCCCCCTGGGAACGCTGATTCCTCCTTCAGTGGCTGCAATCAGGTGGTTCCCATCGACTCAGTACGTCCAGACCCTGCGCCTACAGCAGAGGGTGGCAGACAGTCCTGCACAGGGTCTCAGAGCTGTGATTTTTCTACCACCTGAGCTGGTTTCCTCAGTTCAAGGGCATGATAAACTTATTCGGATCTACCGTTTAACATATCACTTGCTATAAGCCTTCCCTCAGGCCAGGAAAACTTCCAGCCCTGTCCATGGAACTGCTCGGCAGTCCACCTTCTTTTGTTCTCCGAGGCTGGGGCCCTAGGAACACACGGCAGCTCAAAAGCACATTGATTTTCTCAGCCAGGCACAGGATGGGGGCAGCCGCTTTTGAAGCTGACGAGCTGTTAAGTCCACGATTAGTTGTCTTGTCTGTAAGCCATGGAGAAGCTAGCTCGATAAGGTTTCCAGGGACGACAAAGGTTGGCAGGGAGGAAAAAGAAGGTGGTTGTGATGTCAACGTTTCATGAGATGAAATCGCAGCAGGCCTGAGGTTGGCCCTGCTCCCCAGGTAGATTCGTGCCTGCTTCTCTGGAGCCTTGATGGGGGTAGGAGCTCTGGGGGGAGGAGAGTCCCTGAGAGCAGAGGGGCAGATCTGAAGTGTCCCTGTGCCTCCGGGATTGCCACACCCTGGGTTAGGTGAGCTGGGTGAAGTCTTTGGGCCAAGCCGGAAGAGTTCACATACTTTTCAAGTTCACGGAGCTGTTCTCTGGCCCCAGAAGCTTATGGCGCTGTCCTCTGCCCCGTCACCACACCTCTCTCCTGAGAGTGCCGGCTATTTCAGAACCTAGGCCAGCACTTGGCTGTCTACCTCCTGACCCCTCCGCTGCCAGGTTCCCACAACAGGCAGGAGCCCCGCACTTAGTAGAGCAATGGCCGCTGGCTTATGAATCCCCTGTCTACATACCAGCTCTACTATCTCATTCAACCCTCATCGAAACATCCATGTGAAGTACCTATTCTTATACCCATCTCATAGATGAAAAGGTGGAGCCCCAGGTAGGGTTTCTCCCACCCCCTGTCCTGCCACAAATCAGCGTGGGGCCGGGCCTTGAGCCGAGGTTCGCCTGGTTGGACAGCAAAAGCACTTGCCTGACGCCCATTGCTCCCGGGAGTTCTGGAGGGGTCTGTGGTGTTTTCAGATCTAGTTGGCACACACCCTCCATCCATCAGCCAGCTGTCAAATGCCTTCCATCCACCATACTGTGATAGGTATTGAAGATGCAGTGACCCATTCTCACAGGGGGACAAAAAATTCAAGCCCGCAGCTCCAACATCAGGTCAGGAGGAATGTGCTGGAGGAACTGCACGTCCTCGCGCGGACGTTGTCACATAGGATGCATCCCTCAGGCAGACTCAGACGCAAAGAAGTGGCATAAACACAGGGAGAGAGGCACTGGTGGGAGCGAGAAAGCAGCAGGTAGGGGTGGGACACGGCGATCAGCAGTGACAGAGTCTGTCGAAACATAGCTAACGTGGTTTAAAGCAACAGGTGGTCAGAATTGCACCGTGTCGGAACCTCTCCCAGCCCCACGCAGACCAGATGTTCCCCTCCCAGGGATGAGCCCTTCTCTCCTCTCATCATAAGGCACGCCTCGCCACAGATGTCCTGCTTTGGGAGCCAGTGGGTGGTCATGGTACAGAGGCTGTTGGCTCACTTGTAGGCAGCATGGACAGAGACATCCTTCCCCACCGAGCCCGTGCTGTGGTGGATAGGAACCCCCGGCCTGGGGCCATCTGCCTGGCAGAAATAGCAGGCACCACCTCTGATTGGAATTTGTAGCAGCGAAGAGAAACTTTAGTTTTGCTGACCTGTTTGTACTGCCTCAAAGAATGAAGAGTCGCTTTGACTTCTTGACCAACTGCCTGGAAGCCCGAAGCCTGTTGTGAGCCCAGCGGCGGCAGTAATAAGGTTATGTTTTTGGACTTAGCCTCATTAGAAGTGATGTTCTTTATTTGGACACTTAGGCCACGTATTAAAAAGGAAAAAAAAAAAAGCACCTCTTTCAAAAGTAGGAATGATATTGTAGTTACTGCATTAGGAATTAACAGGGCATGAAGTAACTGTCTGCCTCGTGGTGATGCTAGATCATTCCAGCTCTGCTTGCAGCCGTAAGATAAATAGGTATCTTGCTTGCAACTGATGGAGTCTATTTAAAATAGGCAGCCACAAACATGTATGGTGCCCAAATCAAGTTTGGAAAATAGCTAGGAAGAGATAAGGAGGAGGTAAGGTGGCCGAGCAGCTGAAGCTCACGGAGGGGCACGTGAGTCTGCATGTTGCCCCCATGTGCTTTTGAATAGAACGACTACTTCTTGCTTCTCGTAGATGCTAATGTGGCTCCGGTCCATGGTGTTTGATCTCCCTCCATTCCCCTCCAGACACG